ACCACCTCCATTGGTGCCTCTCTGATGATGCGTGAGTAGTTCTTTGTAGACCTTCGGGTCCGTAGTTAGAAGCTAGATGGCTTCCTCTCTCTCGCTGAATTCTCAATACAATGGTCTCTTGGAGATCCATATGATGTAACTCTTTTTGCGGTGTGTTTGTTGGGATCCGATGAACTTTGAGTTTATTATCAGATCTATCTTTTTATATCCATGAAAGTATTTGAGTTTCTTTGATCTCTTTTATGCGTGATTGCTTATAGCCTCGTATTTCTTCTCCGATATTTGGGTTTTGTTTGGCCAACTTGATCTATTTATCTTGCAATGGGAAGAGGTGCTTTGTAGTGGGTTCGATCTTACGGTGCTTGATCCCAGTGACAGAAGGGGAACCGACACATATGTATCATTGCTACTAAGGATAAAACGATGGGGTCTATCTCTACATAGATAGATCTTGTCTACATCATGTCATCGTTCTTATTGCATTACTCTGTTTCTTCATGAACTTAATACACTAGATGCATGCTGGATAGCGGTCGATGTGTGGAGTAATAGTAGTAGATGCAGGCAGGAGTCGGTCTACTAATCTTGGACATGATTCCTTGGACATGATTCCTATATAATGATCATTGCCTGGATATCGTCATGATTATTTGAAGTTCTATCAATTGCCCAACAGTAATTTGTTTACCCACCGTTTGCTATTTTCTCGAGAGAAGCCACTAGTGAAACCTACGGCCCCCGGGTCTCTTTCTCATATTATTTGCCTTTGCAGTCTATTTTCCTTTGCTTTTATTTTAAGATCTATTAAACCAAAAATACAAAAATACCTTGCTGCAATTTATTCTTATTTATTTTATTTGGCGTTCGATCTATCAATCTACTACAATTTTATTCACGTTGGTTTGCCTATCTTGAGGCGTCGCTACCTGGAAGGGATTGACAACCCCTTTTACACGTCGGGTTGCGAGTAATTGTTATTTGTGTGCAGGTGTTGTTTATGTTGTGTTGCTTGGTTCTCCTACTCGTTTGATAACCTTGATCTCATAATGGAGGGAAATACCTACCGCCGATGTGCTGCATCATCCCTTCCTCTTTGGGGAAATACCGACGTAGCTTCAAGCTGCATCACCAGGCGCCCCCTCCCCTCCCCTCGCGTCGTCCTCCCCGGGGCGACCCGAGGGCCCCTAGGGTTTCCTGGCGGGCAGTGGTTGTGGCGCGGCGAGGTTCCCCCTCCTCTACTCTAGATCTGAACGACAGGTTTTCCCTCTCTCTACTCTCCCTCGCTGGATTCGCCTGATTCCGGGCCTCTGGTCGCCGGATCTGGTGTCGGCGGGGTGTTCCCCGAGCTGGTGGTGCTGGACGAACCCGGGGGAAACCCCTGTTGGTATGCCCAGCACGGCAGCGGCGGCGGCCCTTTTGGGTCATTTTGCTCGTTGGAGTCGCAGCCGTGGGCTCCCGTCCACACCCCGACCATGCCTCTCGGGCGAAAGCTCAAATCCCGGCGTGCGATGGGTGGCGGCGGCGCCTGGTGCGTTGTGTCCTCCATGGACGTGTCGTCTGGGGAAGGTTGGTGCTTTGGGGGCGTATAGCAGTTGCAGGTGGGCGTCTGGCGTCTGTGGAGTCGATGGCATATCTTCTGTGCAGGTTTCAGATTCAGCCACAAGTTGCTCAGCGGTGGTGTTTTGCAATGCCCTGGCGGGTCGGCGCCCTCGAGACTGGGTCGAAGGGGATCGGGTTCCCCTTCTCGGCAGCAGCAGCACCGTTGGTGCCGACGATTCGGCTAGTTCTTGAGTTCCTCGAGCCTAATCTTCGCCATGTGGCTTGGCAGCTTCTTCCTTTCGACGACTCTCCCGGCGGCTTACCCTCTTCCATCGGTACCCTTCGACACCTGCGTTGCAGCTAGCGTGTGTATGCTCCGGCATGATGTTGGTGGTGGTCCATGGCTGGCCCGGACTTGAGCCCAACCTAGCTTTAGCTCTCGGGTGAGTATCTCTACACTTCGATGGTTCGGCGCCTTCGAGCCTGGGCGAGGGGAAGGGTTCCCCTTCGGTGTTAGAGAAGCCGTGTGTTGTGTCATCTCCAGTTCCTAGTTTCAGTCATGTGCCCGACCTATTCTGGCGGCTGCAGATCCTCGTGGCTTCTTCCGTAGTCGTTTCAGGGCCTTTGTGTAGTGGGCTTATCCTCAATTAGCTGCACTTCAATGTAATTTTCTGTTCGCTAGTTGTAGGTGTAGCGTTGTAAGCTGTTCTTCTTTCTCCCTTGTATCCTTTAGCCGTTGCTTTGTGTGTGGTCTGCTTCTGTACTCCTGGCCGGTTGATGGCTTTGTTAATTCAAAGTCGGGCTCCTCTGAAGCCTCCGTTCCAAAAAAAACTAATCTTAGCACATGGAAATCAGACGACACCGCGACAAGCCAGGCCATCGACAAAAAAAACTAATCTTAGCACATGGAAATCAGACGGCACAGGAGTTAGATGTGACATAACTAATTCACATCTACTCCCTCCGTTTTAAAATAGATGACTCGATTTTGTACTAAGTTTAGTACAAAGTTAATACAAAATTGGGTCACCTATTTTGAAACGGAGGGAGTAGATGTGAACTAGCAAATCGGTCACTTTGTATATCATTTGTGGTAGTTAATTATACAAGCATATCATATAGTATTATTAGTGGCATAATATGAATGTGCATGAAAGCAGAAAATTATTTTTATCTTCAGCACCCTAAAGATGATGTCCTCGCATTTGCGAGTGCCGTTATGCTTGCTCAAAAAAAGTAAAATGTACATACGGATATAGAAGGATCTAATGTGACATTAATTGATAAATGCACAATTAGTCACAGATAGATAAATGAATGTCTCGATGGATATATATGAATTAACTGTTATTTAGAAACATGGTACAAACTCAGACACTCACACCTACGAATGTACACACGCACCTTCTCTTTCAAGAGATTTAGCTGGCCAATCTTGAGGTTGAGGAGGTTCACCACAGGCTCCATGTGGTTGACAGAATCAATCATTCTGAATTAATTACTAGAGCAACAAAAGTCTATCAACTAGCCTTAGTTCACCCTCCGGAATAAGACCAACCATATACCTGTCCATAAGGAAAAGGCATGAAAGGGAGCAAAGACTGAAGCCGAGCAAGATGGGCAGAAGCGAGAGGAGCGTCATGAGGAGGCCCTCATCGGTCGTTGGAAAGGTGGTGGAGATGCAAACAACCAAGACGCCGGCGCAGCCCACTAGGAACGTCACTGCCCATCTGCTACGGTCGTCGGCCTCCGGTACCACCAGCTCCAGATCGCCGTCGGCCATCTGCTTCGTGTGCCCTCAATCGATCGATCGATCGATCTGTGCTTGGATATTTTCTAGGGTTTGGCCGGTCTGGTTAAGGTCGATGCAGTATTTGTTTGTTGGGATCGATGCATCCGGCCGGCGGTGCATGCAGAGCCCTCTGATCGGCATCACAGGTACGTACGTATTCACAGCTGGAAAGCAACAGGGATCATTATGTACACTGTTAAAAAAAAGACGCTGGACCCTTAATTAGGAACCCGCATACTGTGACCACGCCGTGAGAAATTTTCAAATCATTTTCTTTAAAAGAACCCACATATGACATGTTGTATGCATGCTTCTCTAGAATAGGGCTCTCGTCCTGCTTTATAAATAAATCACAAATCAAAGATACACATCCGAACAAGACACGGCGTGAGTTAGACCTCTTACAAAGCAGATACTGAGATAACCGGACAACTGCACGCGACTACTAGCGAAGAAAACACAGGGCGACCTAAATACAACTCCACTTAGGACGCCTAAGCTCCACGACAACGCCCTCGGGAAAGGTAACCACGCTAAGTGTTGTCCCCACCGAGCCCGAAATGGAGAAGGGTTTTCACTTGAAACCCTGACATGAAGAGGAGAACCACGACAACGTCTTTGAGATATAGAAGCGCCCGCATGTGTTGCCGTTGTCGGCATCACAACACAAAACTTTCGCTCAGCATCTCACCCATGCTACCATGAAGCACCCGAAACAACCGTGACGAATACAAGTCTCCAGATCCGGATCTAGGCGTCGCTACTGTCAACGACAAATAGCGAGCCTGCCACCCACCGCTACACGCCTCGCCGTTCGGACGACCAAGCGGCATAGCCACCACTACCGGCATGGTGCCCGCAGGAGACCCACCATGTGAACCACCAACCCGGGTGCCGCATCGGCATCCATGTCCCGAGCCACCGCCAACCATCAACATCACAACGCACCGACCATGGTATGAAGAGTGGAAGACCCATCCTTCCACTCCTAGCCTGGCATCAGCCACCGAGCCCGGGTCAATTCCTCCATGGTAGGATGTGTCTTCGAAAAAAAATAGTACGAGGTGTCAACGCCTCCGTCCCTAAGCTATTCCCAGTGGTTCCTTACGGTCAACGCGAAAACGAGACCCATTCAAAGGCGGCCCTAGCATCTATCCGCAATCTTACGGTTAGGGCATGTACAATGGTTCTATCTTAGCAATGACACGTAGGATAAACGATGAGGTGGAGGAGAGAGAAATCATAAGAAAAGGCTTGTCTTCTCTTATTTAAGAGAAGACAAGAGATGATCTCTTAGCACAATTTGTCTCACCATGTTTCTAGGAATAGCTAGTTATTGAAGATAAGGCTTAGAGATGACCCATTGTACACACAAAATTTTGTCATTTCTAAATTACATGCAAGACTTAAGATAAGACTATCTTATCAACCATTGTACACGCCCTTAGACAGATCCCAATTTCCAACTAACTAACGCTTTGATCTCCAATATATACTCCGGGCCGGCAAGCAGTCCCATACATCAACAGTCCGAGGTTTGTTTGCACCTCGTTCCAATATACAATTCGCCAACAACTTACAAGCCCTAGAACACCGCGTTGCGCGTGCGCGATCGCGGACGACGGGAAAACCAGACCGAGCGGCGCGAACGAGATAGAGCGACCGACCGATGATGGCACCGGAGCCGGCCGTGCTACCCGACGACGCCCTCGCGGAGGTCCTCCGGCGCCTCGCGCCGCACGTCCTGGCCGCGGCCCGGCGGGTCTGCAAGGCGTGGCGCGACGCCGTCGACGCCCGCCTGCGCGGCAGCCTGCTCTCGCGCTCGGTGCGCGGCATCTTCATCAACTTCAACCAGCATAGCTGCTTCTCCGAGTTCTTCTCCCGCCCCTCGACGGGCCCGGCGATTTGCGGGGGGCTCGACTTCCTGCCCTGCATGGGCGTCCAGGTCACGGACCATTGCAACGGGCTCCTGCTCTGCGGCGAACGGATGAACGAGGACCGTGCGCTGCCGCGTGAGTACGTCGTCAACCCGGCCACGCATCGGTGGGCGCGTCTGCCCCAACGCCCTCGGCCGCACATGCCGGGATTCGATCAGACCGCCTACCTCGTGTTCGATCCCGCCGTGTCGACGCACTACCAGGTCTTTCTGATCCCACGCTTGCCAGCGGCCGGCGAATCGGATGAGGACGAATCGGACGACGACGAGTGGCCTCCCGCGTCATACGTGATGCATGTGTTCTCTTCGGTGACACAACGGTGGGACGAGACGACCTTCCTTCGGAAAGGGGAGGCTGCAGGGATCGTCGGCAACATGGATTCGGATTTGTGGTATAAACAGCATCGTTATCATGCCGTCTACTGGCAAAGCACGCTCTACATTCATTGCCAGCATGGCTATCTTGCGAGGTAACTACTCCCTCCGTTCCTAAATATAAGTCTTTTTAGACATTTCAAATGAAATGCAACATATGGATGTATGTAGACATATTTTAGTGTAGATTCATCCATTTTGCTCCGTATGTAGTCACTTGATGGAATCTCTAGAAAGACTTATATTTAGGAACGGAGGAAGTACTTACTTGCTCCTCGGTGGTCATCCTAATTTAGCAAATATATACTACTAGCAGCATGATCCGCTTATGTTGTTGTTAAGCTGTTTATCCGATGGTTCATATTTGCAGGATGTCCTTGTCAGATCTCACGTACAAAATAATCAAGCTACCAGGTGCCTGTGAATTGAGAGGTTATCCGAACCACCATCTGGGGAGATCACTGGGAGGGGTTTATTGTGCGATACTTATTAATGGCTGGAGTCAACTTCAGCTTTGGTATCTCAATGAATCGTACGGTCGAATTGAGTGGGTGTTAAAACATGATACCTTTCTTGGAAAGACCTTTGAACGTGAGGACTATGCTCGACAACTGGCCAAACGATGGATCTTGCAGGATGTTAACTACTGTAAGTGGTCTTTCAAATACCCTGAGGATTACACAACACATGCAAATTACAAAGCGCCGGTGGAAGAGAAATATGATTGGAACTCCGACGAGGATAACATTCTTGACAATGAAGATGATGTTCAAGGGGGTTGCCGTGACAACTATTATTTCCTTGGGTTTCATCCTTGTAAAGAGGTTGTCTTCTTGATTGCATCAGGGATATCAGCCAGGGGACTGGCCTATGACTGGAACAACTCGAAATTCCAGGATTTGGGCACTTCATGTCCGACAGATTACGACGACTTCGACAGACGACCATGCGGAGAGACGGACTCATCTTTCCCATACACGCCTTGTTGGATGGGTGTGTTTGCTGGTAACGAATTAGAATCTCTACTTGAAGATGAGAAACTATATAGAAAAAAGTTGGAACAGAAATCTCAACGTAAAGAGAAAGCCACCTTTACCTTCATGGACGAGTATGAGCTGCGCAAGCATCGCGGGCACACCAAGAGAGTCAAGGAATCTAACGCCAAGAATCGTCGTAGACGCGCCGTATAGCGGCTTGGTAAGCTTGAATAAGTCAAAATACCTACATTCTCAGTAGGAATTATTCGAACTGTTTTTCCTTCGGTGTGTGGATCCAGACTCGTCAGCTATTTAAGGACTTTGGCACTGTAAAACTACTTTGCTGTTACGATAGTACATAAAACGACATTTGCCGCTGAAGTTAGTGGAATATTTTGTAATACAAATGGTTCCTTCCAGTAGTAAAAGTGATTTTGTTATCTATATGTGATAGATGCTGCTACTTCTAATCAACTCAATATACATTCGTCTTGGTGTTCTTTTAGTGTAATAAGGTTATGCATTTGGTCCTATTTGGGTTATTTTGACCATTCGTGTTGCAGCCACCTAATTAGGATAAAGTATACTATTGTCATCTCAGTTAGTAATCAGGTATATATGTGGTCTGTTGTTTTGTGGGTACTGGTAAAATCAGAACCAGGGAAGCACCACCTTATAATGTATACTACCATTTGCCAATTCCATCGTTTAAAGTGGTTATGTTGCAATATTGAGGCATTTCCTCCATTAATCAATAATGTCCTTACTAAAGCAAACAGGATGCAGTTTCGCACAGGGAGCGTTCTCACCAGTCTGACATTCTCAAATTGGGGGATCACACATTGCGCAACACAGCGGGGATAAGAGAAGCAGTTGGGGCGCCATTTTGCGTAGTTAGTGTAGGGTTAGGTCTAGGTCTAGGTTCGCCTTAGGGCAATTGGCTTGATGCCGTACTTGAGTTGTGCCCTGGCGCTCACGGCGGCTCTTGGTGGTCATCGGCTCTCTCTCTATTGGTCATATTCTATGATTGATGATGGTCGTTGGTGATGGATCTGGTGAAGGCTCCTCCAATAAACTCGACAGCTAGCGAGACCAAGCTGATGCGATCGTCTCTCCCGTCTTCCTTGGCCAGCATAGAGATGGAGGGGAAGACGACGGATCTACGCTTGGCTCGTTTAGATCTGGCGCTCCATAGGGTATAGCCACCGCACTGGCCTTGGCTTTGAAAGCTGAAGATCGAAGGAAAAAATGCTTCCAATTCTGCTTTTCAACCCAAGGTGCTTTTTCGATTGGATTTTTCGGTAACGGGCCGGTTACTAGAAATGCCGTTGGTCCCCAAAAAATTTGGTGTCGTACGACGGGATGGTTTGAAATAGAATTTGTATGGCTTATAAAGGCAAACTGTTCTAGGCAAGTTGGAGACGAGCGTACTCGCACTTGAAAAAAAGGTGATTGGCGAATGAGTGAGGAATTGAACCTACGCCCTTGGGGAGAAAAGGCAGCTCACTAACCACTAGAACAACAATTAATTTTTATATATGATACATTAAATGCCATACATTTGGGTGCTAAAATATTTTAAATTCAATTTTCATTGGATATTTCAAGCAAAATGATTCAAATATTATAAGATTTTCGAATAGCCAGTTTTACCTGGTCACCCCGGTAAAAACATAAACGAGAAAAGAAAAACATCGGTTCAACCTCCATAGGGAGGCCCTTATTTCCTTGCCTGCTATCGGCAAGGATTGCACCGGAGATGGTGGCCAAAGCATCTCCGATGATGTCGCTATGTGTACAGTACCCAATTGTGTTCTTGTTGTCATCGTTGGGGTCCTACGTGTAAAAGAGAGGAAAATGTTTTAAAATCCTGACTGGAACTTTAGCGAGGATAACTTTCTTGACATTGAATACGCTGTTGAAGAGGGATACAGCAGAGATTATTACTTCCTTGGGTAGTTGGGTTTCATCCTTCTAAGTTCTAAAGAGATCGTCTTTTTTTTTCAAAATGGAGGCAAAAGATTTGCCTCATCAATTAATTAAGCAGAAAAGAATTGCCCAGTTAATCAACGGAAAACCGGGCGAAAACGAGATCGTCTTATTGATGAAGATTTCATCAAGGAAAGAAGCAAGAGGAATGGCCTATGACTGGAACATCTCAAAAATTCAGGACTTGGGCAATGTGTGTCGAGCAGATTTCGAACCCGTCTGTGAACTACCATGCAGAGAGAAGGATGCAGCTTTCCCTTACACGCCCTGCTGGATGAGAAAGTTTCCTGGAAACAACTTTGAATCTTGGAATTGGGAGAGGAATCCAACTCCACGTGCATGTATGAGTTCGAGCTGTGCAAGTTCCATAGGCGCGCCCAGATGGTCAAGCACTCTACACCGCTAGCCAGGACACACCTTCGCCAATGTGAAGGCCAAGGCGACCAAGTTTGACCTTGGCAAGAGAAGCTAGTCACTGCCATCGCTGGATCGGTCCTGCTGCTTGATTACTTTTTGGAAACAAAAAAGATGAGTCGTAAAGTTGGTGCATGCAAACGATTTGGAACATCAACCCTGTTCGTAGCCAGACTTGTAAAGTTATTTTAACAGTTATATTATGATACATACATAAAACCACAAAGTTCATAGCCAACCCTGCTCACTGTTCACATCATTCACTAATTACTCTAGTGCATAGTAAATAAAACCACCATGGTTCAATCGTCTGGAACCAACATTTTTTCCATATTGCTGCAAGCGACAAACATGCAGAAGACAACGGCCATAACACCAAATTTTGATCTGCGGGTGAAATAGTCAGGACATTTGTTATGGTTTGTCCTGTGCAGTGTTTGAAGAGAACAGCCGTATTTTGATTATGAAATCTAGTATTCTTCTTCAGCGGCACTAGCAGCACTCAAATCAACGCTGAGATCAATAGTCTGCAACGAAAATCAAGAATAAAGTTAGAATGTAAAGTGGAGCTAGTCAGCACCACTTTTCGTGGCCCGTTTAACACCTTCGCATGGTGTTCTTGCGCAATTTACTCCCTTTGTTTAACAAACCATACAAAGGAACAGGAGGAGAGTGCAGGAAAGGTACTTATGTATACCATAATAAAGGAGATACTAATATAATGTACAAGCGTAGTTAGCTTCAACTACTATCAAGCAGGGAGAATATCAGGCAATACCACCACTTAGATGATCCCATGCTACCAATTTGAAAATTTCAAGTTCAAATGTTTTGGAAAAGTTCCAAGAAAAATTGTGAATGTTCATAATACATGTGTATGCAAACCCTAAACAATTCAGATCCAAATTCAAAGTACACATTGATAAACATAAAGTACAAATCCAGCATGAATAGTGTCAATAAGGACAAAACCATGAATAGTGTGAAAAACTACACTATTCACATCTGGATTTGTCTTTTTTGTTTCTCAATATATCGAATTTAGATCTGAATTTTTTTTAGGGGTTGCAGATACATGTGTTGTGAACATTCATGATTTTTCTCAGAATTTTTTAAACATTTAAATTTGAATTTTTCAAATTGGTATGATGGGAGCATCTAAGTGGTGGTATCACCTGATATTTTCCCCTATCAAGCATTAAAAAATTTAAAAGGAAAATGAAGATGAAATGTTACCTTTCCGGTGATCATTGTATACATGTTAAGAACGTCTGTCACAGTTGTCTCAAAATGTGTGGTAGCATCATAGCTCTACGGAGAAATAAACAGTCACAAACATCTATAACAGTTTAAAAATAAACAAAACCTTTTGTTATGATACATATACTGCAAAATTTACCGTTGAGATGAAGCAATTATCAAGAGATGGTTCGTTCACTGGTTCATATCTGTCATACATATCAAAAAAGAGCTCATCTACTGGACCAAGTAGATCAATGCCAGGCTTGAGTTCGGATTGTATATTATCACTCTCCGCTTCTGCAGAGACAAATGCAATGAACTTCCCTTTTGGTGCGACATTGTGGGTGTATGAGCAACAGAAGACATACCTAAAAAGAGCAGACCAACAGAAATATCATAAATGAGGATTGAGTAATCATCCATCAAGTGATGAGCAGTAAATCTAGTCATCCATCAAATGAAAATTGTTTGGGCTTGAGATAGGCCTCACATGTCTGATTTGCGTCCAAGTTGTTTCTGTGGCAAAATAATCTGGACTGAGTGGGACTCATTTGTATTTGGGATTGGATGGCTCATAATAGCAATTGCACGTGCAACTTTGCCGATCTTCCTGACCTGTTGAAAAGCATGAGCAAAACATCATCATTGGAAGCAATGCATAACAAAAGCACCAGATGAGGTTGTAGTAAATATAAACTTCTCAAGAAGGGAAGGGAATAATGAAGATAAAAGGCCAAAGTTAGACTAAATGTTTGCCATGTATTAACCTTGACAGAGTGCAGGCAAGAAGAATATTCACCTTGTTGGTCAAGTATGAAGGATCGCAGACAACTTTCTTGCATTTTGCAGTTTCACCTTCTGATGTAACACCACACGCTTTTCCTTCCATATTGAATTCAACCTACATGAATTAGGTGGCACAGGTGAAAGAAATTGTGATTTACCATACAGATCATGTGGGTTACTAATAAGCAGGTGACAAATAATACCTTGCATTCTGGCTTACTTAACATGTAAGTGCCACCATAAACAGCACTTAGACGTGCAAAACCCTGTAGCATAAGAAAGCATTGTAACAATGAGCATCTTAGTAACATGTATGTGCAGTATGACAATAAAGGTATAGCAAACTGAAAACTCACTGACCTGTGGCAGCTCACCCAGCCCATATAGAGGATAAATATAAGGCGAGCCCCCTTGAAAACGTGCAAGAGACTCTGAATATAACTAAAAGCAGATGACGTTAAAATGTAAGTGAAATCCATGAGTCACACAATCAAATAAAAGCAATGACACTGCTAAAAGGAAGAACAACTACAGGGACTGGATTATGAATGATTGGCAACTACTCCCTCCATCCCACAATGTAAGACGTTTTTGCAAGCTGTTTTAGCTTGCAAAAAACATCTTATATTGTGGGACGGAGGGAGTACATGATAAACTTATAATACCAAACAAGGACCATCTACCAGAGCTTTTGTCAAGACTTACTTTCATCCTTTTCACAGTATCAAGTGCTGGTTCATCGAGGTGACGATCATCCCTATGGAGAGCAAGCGCGTGGCCAA